TAGGGATTGGACTATCGAAGAAAAGGACTCAGAAAACTTCGTATATTTTAATCGGAAAGCTCCACTAGAATGTCCACAATACATGCTAGCAGTGGGATGTTCATCGTAAAATGCTTTTGGCAAAATAGTAATGAGCGCGGGGAAGTTTTTGAATGTGACCTATTTATTGCAGAAAAAATTCAGAAAGAAAATAAAAATTTATCTCCCGCCTCTCACAGGATAAAGGGCCTGGGTTTTCCTAAAGCCTTCGTAAAAATTCCATCTTGGGTTAAGTATAATGAAACCCTTACAGCGACAGAAATATATGAGGAGAGATATGTAAGACCATTACCCAATGAAGGCGATATCTATGTAGGATCACCTTGGGAGACAGGAAAAACATATGTTCTAGAGCATTTTACTATATCTGACAACGTGAATTTGCTAGTATTATCCACGCGCCACTCTTACTCAAATGTTGTTACTACAAACTCAATCTTAAATCATATTGTGATGTCGATGGTAATATACTGTAAATCTACCTGATCATAAGAGGGTAGTATGTCAGATAGAAAGCTTACATCGTATTACCAATAATTGTAAATGTAATAAAAAATGCAAATGCCCTCCAATCCAATACGATTTGTGGCTTGATGAAATAGTGTTTATAATTGCTCAGGCACAGAGTCATTTGGCCGGACAATCGATAGAAAAGTTATATAAATTGGTTCAAGACGCAAGGCACATTATCGTCATGGATAATGATCTAACTAATCTAAATATCGAGTGAATTAAGGCCCTTCGTAAGGATAAACCGTTCGCTATTATTCATAATACTTACCAACCTCAGAATGGTAAAACATTCCGCTTGGCTCCTAATAAAGAAACAGTGTTATCTGAACTCTGGGATTGGGCCAAGAAAATGTCTTCACTACATTTTGAGAATCGAAAAAATGCTTCATTTATCTGCCATTTTAGAAAAGATATGCAAGGAATTGTTCATGTTCTCAAAACCTATTTTCCAGAATTACGGATCAAGGAATATCATGGTAAATCCGATCCGGTGGAAAAGGCTCATGATTTCAGCACGCAGAAGAATCATGGAAAGACGTAGACCTAGTTGCCTATACTCTAAAGATAGGAGTGTCTTGCATCAATCCTAAGTTTGAATGAGCTTTCTGCATCTTTAACAGTTATATAGAAATGAATGTTGGGACAAATCAGATGTTATTCCGCATGCGGTGTATTAATGATTATATATGTCATATCGAGCAAAGATCTTCTAACGTTCCCATTACAGAAAAGGGGCTATTTCAGTGGTTATTAAATGCTAAACATGAATGCCTCCCCCGAGAACTTCAGAATAGAGGAATATTTCCAGATTTAGACTCTATCATCCGGAATAAGGATGTACCGACTGTTCGATTGTGGGTGGCCTATATGTTGGAAAAATTCCGTTCCCGGCACTTATTTGGTTGGAGAATGGTCGATTTTCTCAGAGAGGCGGGTATGATAATTTCCATCATAGAACCCATTCCTAAGTCTGAAGAAAATATATTATCGCAAGTGGTAAAAGCAAATTGCACTATCGTTAAAGCGGAGGAGATATCAGATATTTCTAACGCTACTATTGTCAATCACGAAACTGCTGAATTTTTGGAGAATAAGCCAAAGGAGACTTTAGAAGAAATGCGATCTCTAGACCGGCATCACATTGTGGAATGCTATGAGATTTCGCCTAAATCATTGACCGAAGATTTTATCTCGAAGTATGGAAATTATAATCATATGAAATGGTTCAGAGCTTATAGACAATTACGAGATACGGATACTAACAATGAAATGGCCGTTAAAGCTATCGCTCGTAAAGATTACAGGGAAGACAGACTTACAACTACCACCCGAGCTGAGAGGCATCGAATTTGTCTGGAGTTACTAAGAAATTGTACACCTGTTATAGATATTGACGATAGAGCACGATATAAAGCTAATGATGTTGAACATGTATTAATTCTCCTGAATCGATATCATGTCTCCAGGATTTAGTTCCCAAAATGGCTAGAGTATTCGACAATACAGATGCATCACGTAGTGCTAAAAAATCGGGATTAAGAACAGTTCGAGCGAAACTCGGGTTACTAAATTCAGCACTGCATGCAACATACGGGTTAAAAATCTAAGGCTATAGATAAGCATAGGAGACATTACCATCTAGTTGGATCATTCGATAATAATGACTCCTGAGTTACCCTCATACAAAACAGGGAAAGAAATTTATTGGGAAAATGGTGAAGATACTCGGTATGGATATAGTAAACTTCCACCCGATGAATTATTAAAAAAACAAACCAAAAATACTCCTAGTTCTAATGTGAATACTGTGCCAATTGCGAAAGATATTCAAGACTTATTTGATATCGCGTAGGTAGAGATCTGTTGTGAAGCCGTATGAATACAATACTAAAGTTTACAGAATCAGGTCATACATACTTTGAGATGGGGCCTTCTTCCAATTTTTTATATAATAATTCCGAAGAAGGCTCCATTACAGAATTATGCATGATGCGCTTTATTTATATATTAAAAAATAGCGCTATTCGACTTAATGATATAAATGAAATAACATTTTTTTTTGCCTACCTTCCGGCAGATCATTCAGGGGATTCCTAATGCTCCAAATTTCGAGCTAACCACTCATCATCTGACTCGGAAACTGGAGCTTCATAGATTCTAGGTGACTCTGGAGCTGAGCCTTTAATTACAACCCTATCACCTAATATTTTGACCCGGATCGAATCTGTTAAATTTCTTCCTAACGAATCTGCAAATACACGTAGTTGTGAAGAAGCGGGAAACAAGTGTTCACAGATCGAAGCACTACTATCATCAACTCGGAAATTGGGGCTTCAGGGATTTTGGATTGAAGGCCTCAGCCCCATACTTCTGCCTCATCCGATAATTTAGCGAATGAAATCTACCCGAATGATCAAGACAACATCCCGTAGTAGAAACAGTATATTTACGACAACCACTAACAAGGTAGGGTTTTTTTTCTATGTAATTTCCAGTGCCTATAACACCCGGTGGAGTCACAGCACTTATTTCCACACATAGTGTTATCCTTCTTGATATATGCGCAAGTAAAACGAGCCATGGTCAAAGATGCTAAAAAAAAGTATTTTAGGATATAAAACCCTCTTTCATTTTTAATTTCATGATAAAATATGTATTTAAACTAATCGGTATTATAATGAGATAAATTATCTTTTCATACTTATGCTATGGACACAACAGGCCAATCGGCAGAGCGCGAGCCCGAGGGTAAAGCTCGCAAAAAATCTATAATCCCAAAACTAATCGCATGATAATTATAAATGGATATCGTAAATTATTACATGACGGATATATGCATTGGAAAGAAGAAAGGCTTTTAATCCCGCCTTTACATGAATCGCCAATATTAAGAAGATATCTTGACCTATAGACAAATATTCCGATTTTTATTCTTTTTTCATGATTACAATTGAAATAGGGGTTGTGAACTCAAACAAAGATGCATCACATGCGATCTTATGTTTTGCAAGAGATCTTAGAAATAAACGGAAAATTTTACGACATGACATTGCTCCATTAATATTAAATTTCGCATATCGATTCGTCAAAAAACCGTAATTCACCGGATTTTCTTTTAAGCACTATTGTTAAATTTAGGCAGACATTTATTATTAGACGGGATTCAGGCCGTTAATATTGCTTTAACTGAAAAAATATAATTATGGAAAATGCAATTATGACAAATACACATAATAAAGTAAAATAATTTTTATTAAATCAGGTTAAATTCTTATTTTTACATGTAGTAAAAATAATATTTTTTTTTTAGTATATTTATATAAGATAATTAT